ACATGCAAAACTACCTGGAATATTGTTCTTGGTGCAGCCTGAAGTTTTTCAGTGTTTTTTAACCTTCCTTGAGTTCACAATTGGGATATAACAGTAATTAAATTTCATATGGAATGAAAAAGGAGCCCGCATAGCTAAGAAAATTGTAAGGTATAACTAAGGTGGAGGCATCACACTACCTGATTTCAAACTACTCTACAAGGCTACAGTAACCAAAATATCATGGTACTGGTACCAAAACAGAGATATAGACGAATGGAACTGAACAGAGGCCTCAGAAATGACTACACACACCTACAACCATCTGATCTTTGACAAACCTGACAAAAGCAATGGGGAAAGAATTTCCTATTTAATAAGTGGTGTTGGGAAAACTGGCTAACCATATGCAGAAAGCTGAAACTGGATCCCTTTCTTACTCCTTATATAAAAATTAACTCTAGATGGATTAATGATTTAAATGTAAGACCTAAAACCATAAAAACCCTAGAAGAAAACCTAGACAGTACCATTCAAGAAATAGACATGGGCAAAGACTTCATAACTAAAACACCAAAAGCAATGACAACAAAAGCCAAAATAGACAAATGAGATTCAATTACCAAAGAGCTTCTGCAGAGCAAAAGAAACTATCATCAGAGTGAACATGCAACCTACAGAATGGGAGAAAATTTTTGCAGTCTACCTGTCTGACAAAGGGCTAATATTCAAAATCTACAAAGAACTTAAAGATATTTATAGGAAAAAAACAACCCCATCAAAAAAGGAAACGAACAGACAGTTCTCAAAAGCAACATTTATGCAGCCAACGAACATATGCAAGAAAGCTTGTCATCACTGGTCATTAGAGAAGTGCAAGTCAAAACCACATTGAGATACCATCTCACACAAGTTAGAATGGCAATCACTAAAAAGTCAGGAGACAACAGATGCTGGGGAGGATGTGGAGAAACTGGAATGCTTTTATACTGTTGGTAGAAGTGTAAATTGGTTCAGCCATTGTGGAAGACAGTGTGGTGATTCCTCAAGGATCTTGAACTAGAAATACCATTTGATCTGGCAATCTCATTACTGGGTATGTACCCAAAGAATTATAAATCCTTCTGTTATAAAGACACATGCACATGTATGTTTATTGCAGCACTGTTCGCAATAGCAAAGACTTGGCACCAACCCAAATGCCCATCAATGATAGACTGGATAAAGAAAATGTGGCATATATACACCGTGGAACACTATGCAGCTATAAAAAGGATGAATTCATGTCTTTTGCAGGGATATGGATGAATCTGGAAACCATCATTCTCAGCAAACTAACACAAGAACAGAAAACCAAACACCACATGTTCTCATTTATGAGTGGGAGTTGAACAATGGACCACACGGACACAAGGAGGGGAATATCATACATCGGGAACTCTTGGGGGATGTGGGGCTAGAGAAGGGATAGTATTAGGAGAAATACCTAATGTAGATGACAGGGTGATGGATGCAGCCAACCACCATGGCACATGTATACCTATGTAACAAACCTGCAAGTTCTGCACATGTACCCCAGAACTTAAAGTACAATAAAAAATATTACAATCTACTTGTCTACTAAGAGACCCAGGAAGACAGATAAATTCTGAGTTCATTCATGGGTCTTTATAACTTCAAAATTTCAGAGAAATTCCATCATGTGTGACCCAGTCATGGTTTGTCTCTCCCTATGTTTGGGTCTCTTCCATGCTCAAGAATCCGTGGGACTCAGGTTAGAATCCATTCTATCTGTGTCACTTACAGTAAAGAAATCAGAGGCCTAAATATCACTGGTGAGCAATGAGAGGATTGGCTGACTATGTAAAGTTCAATGACACACTATGTGGTAGCACTGGAAAATCATTCACTGGATCAGTACTCTCTAAGCGCAATCTGAAGAACTTACTTTCACCAAGAAAAACTGGCATGCATTATCATGTGGCAACTGTAAATGTGTAACTATATATAAACATTCTGGTATTAGGCAAGATATAGATGGACATAAATAAAAATAATACTTTTCCTGATCTTTCTTTACTGTTGTTATCAAGAACATGTAAACAATGGAATCAAAGTCTGAATTAAGTGAAATAAGTCCTTAATTTATTCTGCTAATGGTGTGGAATCTTGGAAAATCAGAAACTTACTTTTGCTGGGTAGGAATTCACTTTGACTGGCGTTTTACCTTCCCAGTTACAAGTATCATGAACTAACAGTAATTTCCATTTCGTAGCCTTGAGCAAGGAAGAAAGAGCATAGTATTAATCCACATAAAGGCAGAGAGTTATAAAAGAACACATTTTTTGTGCCGTGAAACATGATGTTTTTGTACTTTTTAATAATGGGATCCCACTACAATTTCTTCATTGAATTCAGTAGTGAAATATTTTTGATAGATAAGTAACCCTTTGAGTAAGAAGTATGATTTTTAATCTATAACAAGTATATAAGATTTCTAGTTAAAAAGCTTTTAAAATAAATGTTAAATTTCTGTAGCTCAACTATATCTGTTTTTTGCTTTATCACTGGAGCTTTCTGCATAATTCCTTTGTTCATGCATCCATCCTTTCTTTGATGTAATCTTTCACTGCATTCAGCCCTAACTAGACATTGCTTTTCTCCCAGGCACTGGGGAAACAACAGTGAATAGGGACAATCCCTGTTCTAATGCTGGCTAACAGTTAGGAAATGAAGAGTTAGTTCATCAATTAACTGCCCTAGAGATTTAGAAAAAGTCAACTGAAGCCATGTCACTGCGTACTTATTAAATACATAGGTCCTCTGTAGCAAGTCCAGGGGTTTATGTCAATTTACAATTCTGAAAAAAATCTAGGAGTGTATGTGATGAGTATTCTGTCACTCTGCTCATGGTTGTTCAGCTGTTTTGCAAGAACATTCAGAATCTAAGAAAGAACCTGGGACTTCTAATTCCTGGGAAAACCTGAAACCTCTATGATCTCAGCTCTTAAATCCTGTAGACTGAAACTCAGTGATTTCTAATTCTCTAGGAAAATTGGAGCAAAAAGTAGTACATTTGTTTTGTTAAAAATTGTAATAAATAGGGATACATTTTACCATCAGAGGATAAGAACAATGATTTAGTATTGACTGTCTCATAAACACGGTATAAATGTTCATTTTACATAAGGGTTGCACATGCTAAGTGTGTGTTCTCTTTGAGTACACCAAACCAGTATTATTTAATTCCAATCAAGCAAATGCACGGAACTCTTCTCATTTTTATTAGAGAAATACAAATGGTTTGGGGATAAATTCCTGCCCTCAAAAAATTATAGCAGAAAGATTTCACCAACACCAACATTTGCATTTTCCCACCAAAAACAACATGGTCTAGAACCGGGATCTATAAACCTTTTCTGATAAAGCCCAGAGTATACATATTTTAGGCTTTTTAAGCAGTATAATCTCTGTCACAGTTACTCAACTTTTCCTTCCTATCATGAAAGCAGCAATAGAAAATATGTAAATAAGCAGCATGCCTGGGTTCCAGTAAAACTATTTACAAAACAAACAGCTGGCCAAATTAGGTTCGCAGGCCGGAGTATGACAACCTCTGATACAGGTAAACCTATATTTTGAGCAATGGCAACATTTTTCATATTCATTTAGTTTCTTACTCCTATTTTATATCCTATCACATACTGAAATAAAATACTAGATATAATTTTTTCCTTATTATCAGGTATTAGTTGTAATAGTAACACCCTAGTGAGGATATTCTCAGAAAACTCATGTTTGTCCATTTAAGTGCCATTTTTCCCAACACCAATAAACTTTTGATCATTTTTCTACATAGTAGATTGTTTTCATTTGCTCTATATTATGAGTACAACTGAAATTTTTTATGTTTTTCTTGTAATCTTTCTGAACTAATTCTTATGAACAGATGAACTGTCTAGGGGTAAATATTCTACATTACTCTAAATACTCAGTCTGCACTTATTTCCTAGTTAATATTTCCATTACTTTATATATCAGTTATCAATATCTATGTAGTAATCTTCTTCCCTCTGTCCCCACCTCCTTTTACCCACCCATGCATGAAATATGCTCTTGATGAAGAACTAAATTCTAACTGAGAGACCAAAGTAACCTAGTTGTTGGAATTACATAAAATGTCACCATAAACCCAACATTAAATTCTTTTACAGAAGAATTTCTTTTCTGGGGACACAGACTTGACAATAGCTATTTTCCACAATACTTAAAAGCTTGGTTGCTTGTTTCTTGCTTTTTGGCTAGATTTCAAAATATTTAGGGTAATAGAAATATGATTCGCAGGTAAATAGAGTTTTCCTAGTGCACTAATACTTCTTTATTTACTGAGTTGTTTACTCTGAAGAACTGATGTCTTTCGGGTTTTTATTGTTCATTTTGTTTTGTTTACTGATTTTGCTGCTTAAAGTTTTTTCCACTCTGTAGAAATTACAGATTACTCTGTAATCGGCTTATCTATCACTTTCTCTATACAAGTTAGCACAAGGGACTTCAACCCATATAACAATCATCTGGGGAGTATTTGAAAAATATCAAACCCTAGGTCCCAGCCTGTAGAGTTTTCTAATCCGTAGATTTGGGGAACAGAGAACAGGCATTAGTTATCTTTTATTTTGATTGTTTAATATTCCCAGGTGATTCTCAAGTTATTCAAGGGCTAAGGACTACTGGTTTACTATATCCAATTTTTTTTTTAAGAATTCTGTGTAAAAAGATTTTATGGGCAGGGGTTCACACTGATACTCTTTCTGTTTTGTGGCCTTGAAATCTAACACATAATAAATACACAATACACATTTATATACTCATACTTTTTGGATGGTCTCATGATGTAGAAAAAATAGGCTTTACTGTTCAATTTTGAGATCTTTTCTTTTTCTTGGTCAACTATTGTGTCTTAAATGACTATTTTTGGTAACTGTGAAGTCATATGTGTGTTACTGTCTTTCTCTTTTTCATAGCAACAGAAGAATGGGCCACAACCCGCTCTAGCTTGAAGGCACCACCTCCGAGGTCAGCCAGAGGGGGATACAGGGAACACCCCTATGGTAGATATTGAAGGTCCTTCCCACCTGTGACCTCACCTCAAAGACAATTCATAGCCTGTGGTCTCCACATAAACAGCAACAAGACAAGTAATAGTCCTTTTTTTGTTTGTTTTTTTCTATTCTAGGGATAACTGCTTATGATTACTCCCATATATTTCTTGTATTTCCCTCTATACTGTTGGCGTGACATTGACACTAGTATTATTTTACAAAACGGACTGAAAAAGACATTGGCAAGCATAGTCTAGAAACCTTTCAGTAGAATGATATTCTCTTAGTTGTTTTCATTGTTGTGTGTAATCTTTTTTTTTTTTTTTTGAGAAAGAGCATGAATCTGTTAACAGATTTTGAGTCTCAACCAACTAGCAGAAACTTTGTTTAGAGTTGCTAAAAGACTGTAATATGATTTTTGAACTAGCTGATAATAAAGTTGTAGATAAGATGTTTTAACCTGTCTTTTAATATCTGTTAGTTAGGCAAAGATGTTCGATATTAAGTTTGTAAATTTAATTTTAAATGCTGTTTTAATGGGGTTGAAAATAAGCAGCTACTGTATGTATGTAGCTAACTGAATTTGTTCAGTGTTTTAACCTGTATTTGTTAAAAAAGAAAAAAACACACACATAAAGTTCCATGTGTAAGTTTCTCTAAATAGGAAACCACAATTTGTCAAATATGTTTGCCATAATTTGTCAATAAAGCTGAAAACTTTTGTAAAAACTAAATTTGGAATTACTTGTTTTCTAGCTTTAAATGCCTGCTTTATTTCTTCTTCGAGAGATGCCTAAAATGTTTTCTATTTAAAAATTACAAAAATGAACCCAAGCCTGTTTTAAGATTTTTGTGTAATACTTAAAAATGTATTAATAACTTATGGTTGTTAAATAATTTAAAAGTTAACAAACTAAACTGTTACATGAATCATGGTTAGTAAACACTAATGTATAACATGTTAATGGAAAAAAATGGATTTAGAATAATAAATGGATTTTAAACTATCCTCTAAGCTTTATCTTGCTAAACACAAATTCTGATTGACTTGTTTGCATTAGCATGTCTCTCGTGAGAAAGAGTAATGGAGTATAAAGAGGTAAGATTACCGCTTACCACTGTCTAAATGCCTAGTTCTTCAACCTTTGAGTTTCCCCGCACATTAAATATCCCATCCAACATGTAAGCATTGCGTAGATTCACTTTATTGTTTTCACTCAAAGGAGTGCGTGGACTTCATTTGCGTAGTTTCTAACAATTTGTTTCGACAAACAAATCATCAGTGTCACTGGCCAGTTGTTGCTATTCAACCTCAAAAACTTTATTTGTAATTTTCAGTGCTAAATATCACCGCCCTTGAAGGCAGTTTAAAGGGCTGATATTTCTTTTGAGACTATCAGACTTGATGGCTGATGATTATTAAGGAAATATGTCGCAGGACTCAAAGGATGACTAAACGTTAAACAGGTAACACTAATAGTAACTCTGTAATTTTGCCTATGCAACAGTAATGTTAAATATTCTCAGTTATTAAGTTCCTGATAGTTAAAAAAGTAAACCTACAAAAATATAACAAATAGGTCTATAGGTTATTAAAACAACTAATTAACATTAACTAGAGGCACCAAAATTATTTTACAATATATAACCCTCAAGGCAATAAACAGAACTAAAATTAACAATAATAGTAATGCAACTCTTGCTAACTTCAAAAGTAAGCTAAATTTTGATGGAAAAAAAGAAACTGAAAGACTTGATGGTAGGGATGAATGCCAAAACTGTTAATCTTTTAAATACAGTTTTTTTGTTTATGGTGGCTTTTTGTCGATGTGATTGGTTTACTTTTTTGCTGCTAACCAGCTTAGGCATATTGCTGTTCAGTTTTTGCAGCTGGAGTTGCATGCTAATAGTATTATGAAGTGTGTGTCTGTCATCAATTAAAATTGTAAATATTTGCCTTTTACAAAATACTGTTAAGTTATATTTAATTTTCTTTTTCTATTCCTTCTCCTTATTTCAGGTAGTCACAAGCACAGAACACATAATTGAGTAATGGATGTGATTTATGAAGAAGATGAAGGTAAGCTTACTTTTTGTCTCTGAAATAATCTCATCAGCATGAACACATAGTAAAACATGAAGCTATAGTGGTGAGCTAAAACACCTAATGCCACTTGTTGAACTACTGAAAAGGCTTAGATTGTTGTTAAGAAATGGAAGTATTTTTATCATCTTTGAAATAAAGTGGTATGAGTTAGTATTTCCCTGGCAAGACTTTGTGAATTTAATCAGAAGCTTGTCAAGAGAATTGTGAATTAGTAGTTAATTTTCAGCCCTTTCTTTGCTATAAACTACTATATTCTACCTCTCCTTAGTTTTACAAAGAAAGACTGTTAAAACTTGGTTATAAAAGAAGTAACTCACAATCATTGCTAAAACAAAGGGAAGGGAAAGGCTGGTCTGTGACCAACTCCTTACCTACCCCTTGAGAGTAAGAGTAAAATAACTAAACATTACCATTATTTGCCCCAGTTATCCCATGAGACTGATCAGTAAGCTTTTCTATTAGATTTAGCATATTGTTACTGAGTAAAATCACTATATGAAATTGAGACTTGGTTGTCTGTACACCAGGAGTTGAAAACTTTAGCCAATAAACTTCAGACTGAAAATAGTGCAGGGTTAGTTACAAAATCCGCATGCTGAGCTGATGGTCAAAGAACTGAAATGACTTGGTGAGATTTAAACTAGGGTTTTAAACCCCAAGTTTTAATCTTCTGTGTCTAGTCCTGTTTTTTCTCATAAATATCCATAAGACATGTTAACTTAAATGATCAGCATAGGAGGGCTATGAGAGAGACTGGAGATTGCTTATGATGGGGGAAAGTGGGCAGCAGCAGAGACTGAGGGAGACACGAGGTGGAATGGAAGGACAGGAGCAGCTCATCCACTGTAAGGAAGGCAGCACCTCCTGGTAAGGGGAATAGGCTGTCTCAATTTGTGCAACTGGAAAAGTTCTATGTATTTGAGAAGAAAGCAGAGCTCAGTGAGCCCTGAGGGGCAGACTTATGAAAGCACACAGAGAAAAGGCAAAGCCTGGAAATACTACTGGTTCAAGTCAGGTCCCAGTTGTCACTAAGCGCTGTATTGAATTTTTTTTAATTTATAAGGAAAATAAAAAAGAAGCCACTACAGGTTTGAAGTAAAGAATGAGTGCTGTTCTTAAGAAAACTACCCCAATAATACAAGATCAACCTCACAATTAGTCTATTTTATCATTACAGCCTATTTATCTATCTGAGATAGCTTTTCTAAAATTCAAACTGTTAATTATTTAATACTGTATTGCTTCAACTAAAGTTGTTTCTCTGCAGAATTGAACACCAAAATTACACAGTTAAATTCTGAAATTATAATTTTCAATTTCATATATGTGTAAATAGTAAAAAGTATCACTGTTTTTATAAAGCAAGAGGAAAAAGAATCTCTCATCCAGACATCCTGCTCATTATTCTCCTTTATCCCTTTCAAACAATGGGCTTCATCTGGTAAAGCGATGAAAGAACAACCAGTCATAGGTTGTCACTCTTTTGATGTATTAATCAATATGACTTTTTATTCATTCTAATTATTTGTTGTGGTGGTCTTAGAAACCTATGACCCTCTTACCATTCAGATTACATTTTTATATACATTAACTCATGGCAGGGTTATCAGAGCAGAAAAATCGGTGTTGAACAAGAAAAGAGAACGTTGCTTTTAAGTACAAAAGCAATCATTTGCAAGAAAGGGAATTTTGATTTTTAGATACCTCCATTTTGAGTAACATAAGCCTGATTAACTTTGAACATAAAGTTTATGTGTTAAACAGCAAATTTAAAAGATTTCTATCTAGGTACCTACATATAGCTGCAAGATAAAGATGGTCCAGGCTGAGAAGAGAGCTCAAACGGCAGCAATATCTCAAATATTACTATGGCCTTGAATGTGGGCTCTATACATTGTGTCACTTATCCAATAAAAGTCTCAGATAGATTTGGAACACAGAGAGAACCTCCAACTCAGTGGGAGTCTGGGAGGCAGCAAGCCTCACAGGGTTCTCCACACCAGTGTATGTCAGCTGCAGTCCTGTAGAAGTCTCTATAGAATGTTTCACCACATTGGCAAGAGTGAATTGGGTACAGCAGAGAAAACTGCACACCCAATTGCTTTCGCAGAAAGGCAGGGAAGATGCAGTAGCTTCAACTTAGACCAGTGCTGGCCTGGAAGCAGATGTGGACACAATATCATTGGATACAATAACATGGAAAGGCGAGAAGATAAGCTCCTCCCGGCATGCAGTGCCTCCAGAACTTAAATCCAAGCCAGGAAAAAGAGAAGGGGAAAAATAAATCCCTGAGTTGACAGAGGAACTTCTGTTCAAAATTAATCTGAATTAGCTGTGATGATCTTTCTCCACCCAGCAGAATGGGGACTGAAGTTTGAAATCAAATCGAGGTTTAGAAAAATATAATTATATATAGCATAGACTTGCTGACTCTTAATATAATCATATTATAACTTCCCTGACTCTTAATATAATCATAAATGAATATGCTAGTTTTCTCTAGCAACAGAAAAGGATAATTTCTTTAAGTTAGTAGCCTTTTAGTGGAAACTTTTATTTGAACGAAAACCATTCAGCAAGTGGTCCTAAGGGCAAACATGCACAATCAGAGGATGCCTTCTCTTGTCAGTATCAGAAAACAATGTCGGTCCCATTTGGGTTCATGGCATCAAGTCTGCTCTCACGATCTTCAATGTGATGGCTCCCAAAGTTGGCAAACATCATGTCTGACATCCACTCATACAAGTGATACAAACTTGCATGGCAAATTAAGGTTTTAGATTACAATGCAGTCTATCTAAGCATATTTTAAAGTTCTCTGTATGCATGTTCTATGTATTTTTTCGGATAATGCTCTAACTCTTGGTACACTGATGATCCCATTAAAACTGGGAACTCACTGAAAAAATCAGATCAACTAAAAACTAGACAATTGGACTAAATGAAGGATTTTAAATAGTAATAATAAAATTAAGAATAAATTATTTGTGCCTAATAATATTTAGCAACAAAAAGTATTACTGCACTCAAATATGATTAAATCAGAATCAATTTGATGCCATGTAAGAAACTGAATAGTGCAATGAGGTCTTACTTGTAATATTTAGATAATTTTCACTTTTAGTTTACAGTATTAATGGAATTGTTACCATTTAGCTTCATAACAAAGCATTAAGAGTTTTTAAATCAGGTTATCACAAAATGACATATGAAAGGTTATCAGGAATTCTTTGAAAGGAAATTATTTTTAAATTTATGTTATTAAAATATTACTCTTGTTCTTTTAGGTCTTTACATGAAAATATATGACTAGTATTTTTAAAACTACAAATGCCTTTTAAAAATGTAACATTTTAAGGTTGATTCATGGGTACAAATATTCAGTTAGAAGAAATAAGACCTAGTGTTGATAGATCAGTAGGGTGACTATAGTTCATAATAATCTATTGTCTATTTCAAAATAATTCAGATGTTTCTTGCATAAAGACAAATATTTAAGGTGGTGGACATCCCAATTACACTGATTTGATCTTTACAAATTATACAAATGTATTAGATAAGCACCTGTACCTCAAATATATGTACTGTATCACACAAAAGTAAGTAAAATTTTAAAATGTACTCCTTATATCATTCTCTCTATATTTTATTTTATGTAATACAGAAGTTTGTAGGGTTGTTTTATTTTGTTTTGTTTCTAAAGGGAATAGAGAACAACGATGAGGAATCTGAGCTGGCTGAGTATCAAGTATTAAGTTTCAGTATCAAAAGCCCTGTTGCTAAAAAAGATGTTTAACTTTTACTACAAAAAAAAATCATGTAGTAAGTAAATGAAGATATTGAATTGTATGGTAGTTGTTAAAACTGATTACATGATTTATGATTGATATAAGGGTATAGAGCATTAATAACAATAATGATAGTGGAATCCTCTGGTTTTTTGAGCATATATGCTGGACAAGTTACTAGAATTTTCACATAAAAACTTACAGGAAGCATCTGTAATTCTTTGAACAAGCATTCAAATGAAGTCTAATTAACCTCATCTTACAGAAGAGGAAGTAATGTCACACTGCTAATATGTATAGCAAAGCCAATATTTAAAACAAAGTTTAACAACCCACACATTTTTCAAAATACTGTGGAATTTCCTGACTGAATAAATGTGATTGAAAAGAGGATAAAGAATTCCAGGTAGCCTTAACATAATTTCTTTTCTGTAGTAATATGATGAATATTGACTTAAAAACGGATAAGACAAAATATCTTCACTTGCAGTCAGTCTTTACTTTGATCTTTTCCCATTTTTCATTCTGATTTCATCATAGAAAAACATAGATGAAAGTATTCCACACTTGACACAAAGCATGACTACAGTCATTGGTAGAACAAATGAATTCATTTATAATCTAAATTCCATTTTGACATTTAAGAAAACCACTCACATGATTAAATAAGCATGAAAGCAATTTCAAGCTTCTATTCGTCAATCTATAGATCAAAATTCTGCTTTAAAGAATAAGGGTCAATTTCAAACCAGAAATATCTTTGAATAAGCCATGCAGTCATGTGTTAAGAACACAAGTGAAGATACCATTCAATGTTAAATATTTTTAAAAGGGATTTCCTGTTGTCAATATAATGTGTAACATTTGGCTGAGCATTCTAGTTTCCAATTAAATATCTGAAATAATAAAATAGCTGGTTTTGGTGACAGGCACCAGTTGACCAAATCCATCATTAAGATTAATTTCTTAGTCTCTTTATGTAGAATATATCAATTGTTATCAAAGAATATTTACAGTGTGCATTGGGGAAGGTCACTCTACTTGATATTTTGTTTTACATCTCAGTCTCTTACACTATTATGAGAGGAACTGAGAGAACGGGAGGCAAAGTTGCCTGATTCATAGACCAATGGTGGCCCTGACAGCAGTTGGCTTATCGTCCTTTACACCCATACACACAAAAATACAGAAGGAACCAACTTAAAAATTGGCAACTAGTTACTGAACACTAATCTTACATTCCTGTTCCACTGTGCTTCATACTTCACCATGGGATATAGTGAAGGATCTATTTTGAGGAGAAAACTGGAGATGCTTGGATCTCACAGGTTTTTTTTTTTTTTTTTTTTTTTTTTTTTTTTTTTTTTTTTTTGAGACAGGGTCTCGCTCTGTCACCCAGGCTGGAGTTCAGTGGCGCCATCTCAGCTCACTGCAACCTGTCTCCCTGGTTCAAGCAATTCCCCTGCCTCAGCAACCAGAGTACCTGGGATTACAGGCACCTGCCATCCCGCCCAGCTAATTTTTTTTGTATTTTTAATAGAGACAGGGTTTTACCATGTTGGCCAGACTACTCTCGAACTCCTGACCTCAGACAATCTGCCTACCTAAGCCTCCCAAAGTGCTGGGATTACAGGCATGAGCCACTGCACCCGGCCAGTTTTCTATCATCTTAATGCATCTCAGGACGACTTACATGAATGAGTAGGAACATGTTACCTCTCCTCTGTCTCATTTGTCTGTTCTCAAAATGGTAAACCTTATTACCTATCCTCTAGATTCACAGTCTGCCTTTTTAGACATCATGACATATTTCAACTTCTCTAATGTCATCGCTCTCCTACATTCTCAGTATCTTGTGTCATTTTCCCAATAGCATATGGGAAAATGAGAAGACAAAGTGAAAGACAATTGACAGCTATGTGGGAAAGAGCAATGCCCAATCCATTGAACAGAGCTCCTACAATGAGAAATGTACTTGGTAAACTAGAAATGTCCATTGTAAACTAGAAATTGTAAAAGAAAAGACAAATACAATAAATGAAAATGGAAAAAAAGACAACAGTTAACATTAACATATAATCTACTGTTCACAAAATCTTGATTTCTATAAAGTATAAGAGGATGTATTAGGTAAGCAAACATCTCTGATTTGTCCAACTTCTATAAATATTTTAAACTATAGGCTTTAAAATTAGAAATGAACACTTATATGTGAAATTTACAAAGATCATCAAATAAAGTCTGTGACTGGAATGAAGACAATTTTAACTGTCTTTAAACAGGGAAAATCATAATTGTAATGTTGCCTAAAAATATTCTTTAAAATGAAATTAATGCTGAATTTTTAAACTGTGTCTTTTAACTTTCCTTTTAGGAGTTTAGGAGTATAAATTACTTTGTGGACCAATAAATAATTATTTTGAATTTATTTAGATATGCTGCTTTATGCTTTCTTGTAAGGTAATAATTTGTAAAATAAACAATATCATATTACATCGGAAAAACTTCTCTGGAATCCTTTTATCACTGATAACCTTTAGTAAAGCAAAAAAATGGCATAATTTTTTAAAGATCATTTTTGTTTCTAGTAATTCAGGTACAAATAATGATTGTCTTAGAATATGACAGAATTCACAGGAAATTAGTATTTTTGGAGGGGTTCTTTTTTTACATTGTCATTTTATGATTACAAAGTAATCCATTTTCAATGTAAGGAAAAATAGTGTATAATGTAAATACGTAATTAAAAAACAAGAAATGTATACTCTTACTCCTCAGAGATAGCTGTTCATAGATGGGTTTACAGTTCTTTTCAGTTTCTTTGTCTTACTTTCCTTCAGTTCCTCCTCCATTCTTCAGCTGTTTGTTATTTATTTGAAATGGGATTCTGGTATGTAAATATATACAATTTTAATTTTCAGAAGTGAGCTGAATGTTGTTTCTTTCTGAAAAATAAGCTAATATCTATTTCCAATAGGTGGATTTGTGTGGGGAGGATTAAAGTTGTATCATGTATTATGAACTAATCCATAGTCCACACTAGAGTGTGAGCAAATTTTTTTTTCTATTTTCAAGCCATAATTTCTTATAGGTAAAATGGTGATAATAATAGTACCTACTCATGGAATTGTGAGCTATGTTAACTAAAATCATTCCGGTTTGTGTTTTTCTACCCAAGTTTTGTAAATATCCTCCCCAAGTTACTTACTTTATTCTTGGGCAAAAAAAAATTAATGTTAAAATATCTATGGTACATATCAAACATGTAAATAAAAATTTATTCTATAAACATATTTATATATTTGAATATATTTAAACTTTTAAAAAGCTTAAATATTTTTTAAATGTTCTCTATAAAATAAGTTGTTAAGAAATGCTCGTTATATTTATAGGCAAATATATATTGGATTTATAATAGGTATTATAAGGTATAAGAATCATTGCAATAATGTTGCATAGGTATTGTTTACAATGAAACAGTCTGGGGTAAAAATGGAAGTGAGACTAACAATTGTTTCAATAATAATAATCATCTGAAGAAAAAGACATTTGCAATAACTGAGTGCATACTACCTGTCAAGCCCTGTTGTGTTTTTAAGAATTATTTCATTTATTTTCTCAACAACCCTATGTATAAAGTTGATACTGGTGCAAGATACTGAGTCTTGTACAATAACCCTAATCATCATGGATAATATGCCTGTCTATGTGTTCTCTTACTTACCGTTGATTAAATAGAAGCTATGTTTTTCTAAGTATAGAATTAAGCCTTTGTAGAGGTTAAGATATCCTAAACAATATAATAACATAAAATCTCAATGAAAAATGAAAATAAATGAGAAATTACCCTTCTAAAAAATAGTCATGGTTGTTTACTAACAACATGCTCTATTGTATTGATTTGTCCCAGTCTCTGTGACTGCAAAAATAAAATGGAGTTTTTCATTTATCTCTTTTCCAGTCAGATGATACCCACTACTGAAATATACTTTATACCTTACTATACTTAGTAATAGGATACCAAAGTGAAGGGGAATATGAAAATAAGGAAAAATATTTAGAAAGAAAAAGAATGTAGCTAGAAAGGTGATAAATGTTCATTAGAAGTGCTAACATTAAACAGATAGTAATATGAAAAAGAAAGACCTCTCCTTATATCCTTTAGGGAATGTAATGTCCTGAGATCTAATATTTCTCATAAATTGCCATCTTGTACAGTTTATCACACAAATCAATAATGTTAGAAATTTACAATATGCATTCCCTTTACAGCAAGAAAAGAAACATTCAACTACTGAATACATCTGGAGCTTCTGTTTTCTTTCTCAGAATAATTATTTTCTTAGATCATTACACTTTCCCTTTACTTCTACCAGCAAATTTTTCTTTTATCACTTTGGAAAATTTCCATGTCCAGTGTTGAGTAAAGAATAAAAATTTATACCAGCCTTTCATTTGCTATTAATTAAAATTTGTACTTTTAGAAAATTACAAATACTGCATGTCATGTACCTACAGATTTCTTCAGAGATATTACAAAAGAGGAGTACTACATCTATGTATGCCAAAGGTATGCCAAAGTAATTTTACCAAACCACTTTCTAAAGATATTGATGTTTGAGAGATATTGTTTCTGAACCTATATTTTACGAGTTCTGTAGTTTGGTATATAATACTATACATTGTAAGTACAAAATAGACCCTGTTGCAAGCTCCAACACTATAAAAGTTCTCAATAAAAATGCATTTTTTATTTGCTGTATTTAGATTAATAGGAAATATCTAGAGTATTTTAAAGTTAAGTACTCATAAGTAAAACTTAGTGATAAGTTCATCTGATTTCCCAGAAGTAGGGAAGAACCACTAATTAATTTTCTTAGGATTTAATTCTAAGGCGTTTGCATATTTTAAGTGATATCCAGGTGATTTACTGAATCCACATAAATTTTCATCACTAATTCTACCATTTCATTGTATCACCCAAGAAAACAGTTTACCCTGCAAATGACACTAGTAATGATAGCCTGTGACTAAATGAATAAGTACAAAGAAAGTAGCCTCATGACAATTTAGTTAAAAAATATTCAGTGAATGCCAAAAAGTCTGCTGTGGTAAGTATACTGCTAGCTGTCACATAAGAAAAAATGGTATCAACTGCAGTACCTTGGTTTAAAGTTGAGGAAGAAATATTTTATAGAAAAGCAGCCACGATTTACCTTTCTAAAGCAAGAACTGAAGCCCTCTTAGGAAAAGGCTTAATGTTTTCTTCTTAACTAGTATATTCGTCCAGCTTGAAGGGAGACAGTTGTCAAATTTAACTAAATGAATGCATATCAATATGCTTTCCTCTTTTCTGGTCGTATAATATTTCTTATGTACTGTTTATAATTTATGCAAATTATCCTATTGATTTGTATGCAAAAATGTTAATATTCTATATGCTATTACACTTACATACATACATTAATGTATGAATTGCTAGTTTTAACAACTTTTAAGAATATTATTATTATTTATATGGTATTTAATTATCACAACAGTTCCCAGAAGAAAACAACGCAATTTTTCTTATTTTAAGGAAAAGGAAACAAAATTTCACAGGTTTAAAAAATTTATCCAAAAATTACATGAATTCTACATGGTGGGAGTTGAGCTAAAACATTATCCTCTGCAAAGTAATTTAAGTTTCTTATTTTGTAAATGATAGTGCTCAATGGTAGAAGAGAGAACAATCAAGATTGTATGAGAGAGAAAGCTGTTCATGTGCAGGAATTATTAATATCTTTTTATAACCCATTCCAACTTAACTATAAGTATTTGGATTTTTTTTTATATATAAATATTTACTCATAGCCTTATTTATACACTTACTACAGGCATGTCATAATATTCAATACTTTGTAAAATAGCATACTGGGAACAGATGCATGTGAAATTACAATTGATAACCTAATGATCACAAAGTATATGGTGAATTTGTAATAGCTAAATTAAGTAATAATGTAAGGAGCAATGTTTTCTGACTTTAGCTGTTAAAGAATAGAATTGAAATTAATTGAAAGTGTGAAACATTAATAACTGGAAACATTCTAATTTATATTTAAAATATATCCAAATTGTAATTTCATTTCTTTAGCATCTACTATTACAAGAACTTCAAAAAAGAAAGAATTAGGTTGTTATTCTACCATTAGATAAGAATTAACATAAGTTTTGTTATTCCTTTTTAAATACTTACTTAACAGTCCTTTCCTCTTAAAAAAAAAAAAAAAAAAGGAAGTACTTAGCAGCTATTAGATAATGGACATTTATAAATGAGTTTAAAGGTCTAATTTTGGTTTGGTTTGCAAACGCCAGAACATTCACAGAAGTTTTCTAATTTTCAACTGAGAATCCTGCTTTTGAGGAAGAAAAAAAATCCCAGAAGGTTTGTGTCTAAATTAAACAGGTCAGCAGTTGATCTTATATTAATTTACTAAACAATTTCATTAAGCAGTTCAGAGACTTGGGCTTCTTCCATCAAAGTGTACTCATGTGGAAGATTCTACTATTTGGTCTAATTTATCTTTGTCTACCTTTATTGCTAAAGTGCACTGCATGGACTCAGAAATACCTATTTGTCACAAACACACTAGGGAAACACTACATGGCAAATCAGTATGGAGTACAGTGTTTTACAATTAATTTCTTATATTATGTTGTCCAAAAAAAGGCTTTTTCAATATAAAAGCAACATATTTCAAAGTCTGAGTCTTACTCATTTCCAGGTCAAACTATTTTCAAATTCAACACAAGTTTCTGCACTTTTATTCCTGTGGCTTCATAGTTCCCCTGTGCTGTACACTTCAGGGTCTGGTGTGCTCAGAAGCACACAGATTTCTAGTTAACTGCAAGGAGCAGGAAATGCACTTTTGTATTAGGAAGTGATACCTAAGTTGCAAATCGTGAAACAAATGCATATATTTGGTAATAAAATTTTCCCCACCACCTATTCCCACCCTGCAATGTAGAAGGAAGGATCTAGAAACACATGTAAATGAAAAATAACTTTAAGTATGTCTACAATGTCCACAGCAAAAATAGTATTTTAACATGCTACAGAATGTTCCTAGAATGCGTATTTATTTATAAAGCTAAATTATTTGATAATATTTGGTAAACATTTAGACATTATTTTATTATCTGGATACATTTTTAGAAATGGGAAGATGTATGTGCTCTATTGTATTTACTTTTTAAGTAGACTTTATTTTATTGCAATAGAAGTATACTTTATTTCTCAAAATAATGCTATGATAAACATTAAGTTTTACAGCTGCATTGAGTCAATTCATAGACTTATCAAGTAATAGAAAAACACATATCTCAGTTCTCACATGATTTGTATATATGACTAATAGTTGTGTTTTTAATAAGATGATAGACAACATCAAAAAAATTATTCAACTTGTTAGACTATTTGTTCCTAAGTATAATAATTTTTTTATTTTTAATCATTTTCAATGTACAAATACATATGAAAATATAACTTGAGAATACAAATTTCAGAACTAAGAACAGTCTAAATTTGGTAACTGTTATGATGAATTAAATTTCAAAATCAAATTTTAGAGTTAAATAATCTATAATATTTATAATTAAAAATTAAAATAAGGTATTCTTTATATTACACAGAACATAAGTTTTATAATGTATTTAATTCTGGATATATTTTTTCCTTCAAAAGATATTCAGATTTTACCAGTACTTACTTTCATAAATGAGTAAGATCGTATTTCACACTTCAATGGAGCATTATTTGTGTAATTTTTCTATTTTCCATATCATTTTCTTACCCATCTTCTAATTTTATTGATTACACAGTTTTGAAAGCTTAATTTTTTTCTACATTAAGACAGTAAAGTTTAGAAATAAGTGTTTTCTACAAAATCAGCCAACATGTCAACACTGTCTTCTCAGTTTTTGTGAGAATGTGTTACTGTAAGTGATGCATTTCCTCTTTCACTTAAAAATATACCCTTATATTGTAGTGAGTAGAAAAAGACTTGTAAAACACTTAAATATTTCCCAATAGTTCTGGCAACATTTAACAGCAGTGATTTATTTCCTATATTAACATGATAATACCTAAACCTTATTCCCAATAGTGTATTTCCTAAAATATTTTCTTCTACTTCAATTTTTGTCATATGAAAATAGGCTATAAAATAAATGAAGAAACATAATATATTCATTTTTAATTGGAAGTAAAATTAAAACTCCTTTATGAAATGTATACCAAACACATTCAAATTTTTATGTAACACATTATTTGCTCAGAAGCATCAAAAATAGATGACAGGAATTAAAATATGAATTATTAGCTAGCAATATGTGGAATTAGAAAAAGTATATCTGTTAAATTACAAATAAATTGTTTTAATATCAGAGTTATATATTTAAAAATTAGAAGTAAATTAGTTGCCCAGCTAAAATATTTTTATGTGCTGTAACACCACAGAGAAATCTTTATTTATTACAGATAAAAAAACTATAGTGCTAATCAAATTCAAATCAATTTAACCAAGTATGTTTCAGTGAAACAGTGTTTAAGAAATGCAAAATAAACTAAAAAATGAAAAACTCATGGCCTTATCATCAAAAGTAATTGGCGGGGCATGGTGGCTCATGCCTGTAATCCCAGCACTTTGGGAGGCCGAGGCGTGTGAATCACGAGGTCAAGAGATTGAGACCATCCTGGCCAACATGGTGAAGTGAAACCCTGTCTCTGCTAAAAATACAAAAATTAACTGGGTGTGGTGGCACATGCCTATAGTCCCAGCTACTTGGGAGGCTGAGGCAGGAGAATCACTTGAACCCAGGAGGCAGCAGTTACAGTGAGCCAAGATCGCACCCCTGCACTCCAGCCTGGGTGACTACATCTCAAAAAAAAAAAAAAAAAAAAAGAAAGCAATCAGTTTACAACTTCTACCCACCAGGTATATAATACATTTGTCATTTCTTAGCAGGAAATTGTCAAGAACCTTTGGCATCTCCTAAACTTGCATCTAATTTGTCCATGTTTGAACCTACTGTTCATATGTAAAGCCACAGTACTGGAAGAAGAGGATGGCTACAGTTCTGTTAAAATATGTATACATCGAGATTTGCAAATATCATGCATAGTGTGAAAGATGCTTATTTTCCTGAAGGAAATGGGCATTCTCTTTTCCTCCGTTCTTGTTGTTTTTTCTGTGTTGAATGAATCCCCACTAAAGTTGGGACAGTAAGGGGCATTATTAACTAATTTTCCCAGTATTGGATATATTAGAATGAATAACAATGGATGGATATAATACTGCTATATCCAAACTGCTACAAAATTCAGAAATCATTTTTTTCTCATAAATCCAAAAATGTCAACCTTCTATTGACACAATATTTTCAGTAATTTTATAACTTCTACTCAAGGAAGGGTGTTGAAATAAAACATCAAATCTGCTTGTACTATAAAAATGCTAACTTTTATGTAAGAAAAGTAGAAAGATCAGTAAGTGTGGTGTTACAAGTTCAGAAAGCAGTTGATATACAAAGGTTAAGTCTTGCTGGTATAATAAACCAAGTTTCACCTTTGAATGGTTTGACCCGATTCTTTCTATTTTAACCCTGTTTTGATCTTCAATTTCAAGGCAGCAAGAGTCAAGCCACATAGATCAATTCTTTCCAAACTTCTTTTGATTTTTATTTCATTTTTACACAGTGTAGATTTTTGAATATCAATGTATGCGCTTTACTCCCTAGTTCACAGTATGAGATATTTTAAGAATCCCAGGAATTTTTAGTAATAGTTGAGGTTTCATTAAACTTAGTTTTCAAGTGACTTCTTAAAGTTTATTCATCAAATAATTCAGGGTGTAAAAGTAGCACATAAACGTTAATTGAATGGTCATTAAGCAGTGTAACTGTTTGTTTTCAGTTGATAGAGGACATTAAGCTCCACACCCTGTGGTGGAAAACAGTTAGGTCTTATGATACACATGCCATTAAGGATACTGCTACCAGACTTGACCAGTTTCACTTTACAAAATAGCAGTCAGCTGCAGTCAGAAGTTTGCCCAAGTCATAGGAAGTCATATTTTTACTACCATGTCCTAGCTACTTATAGATGTTATGTGCTTCATGCCTTATGCTAATTGCAATGACTAATGTTTGTCAATATCTTCACTCAATCTTATTTTAAAAACCTCCTCAGGACAGACTGATCCTAGCTAGAATGCTACATAAAGTGAGAATGTTTTTCTAAAACAAAAATCACTTAAATCGAAAAGGTTAGATGATAATTTGAGTATGCCTGACAACTGCTACTGTTATTTAATTTGCCGTGAGACTAACTGATATCCTATATGAGAATGCCTTATAGATGCCTGGATGTGTCATTGCACAATGCTTTAAAGTTGTTCTGCTCATCTGGGACTGTAGGTGAATATGTATGACAGAAAAACAAAAAGCTGGAAAAATCCCAAGACTGGCTGTTAGGAGGTTTACTGTTTTTAACAATGGAGGTGAGCCTCTTCATCCATTTGTGATTTCATTTATGAACCCTACTTACAAGACAGGTACAGAACACTTCATTATGGGCCCAAACAAGTATGTTTAAATGGATAAAGAAGCTCTTTGCATCAGATGGAAGCTAAGTGTGACATTAAATTAATGTCAAACAAGTGAGAAACTCTTTTAGTTTTAATCTACATGTAGCAGCATAGTGGTAATGTGTTGATTTTCATATGCACACAATTTCTAGTCTTATATCACCAGAATGTGAGGTTATAAATTCCTGTATTACAAAGTAAAAACAAAAGCAAGAATCAACTAATAAGGAAATAAATTTTGTTGAGAGAATGTGATGAATGTTCACATTGTTTTTCAGAATGAGGAAGGTGGGGGACAAAAAGTTTCTGTGGAGAAGAAATGTCATCCGCCATACATGATGGCTATTTATCGAGCCTTTGTCTAAAGTATTACCCAATAGAATAGGACTACAATTATTTGTTCCTTCCTTTTATTCTAATTTGTTCTGAAACAAAAAGAGAAATAACTGCATGGCTGGATGATGAGAGATATAGATGATTCAGAAGATAAGTTTCTGTTTTCTTCCTTATATATTCTTGTATGTTAAAGTAATTATTTAGGGAGAATAAGTTAGTTACATGTTTGTTTAAAGAGATACGGAATTGTGTAAGATATTTCAGAACTTAAGTCATTTATTTAATGAAAATACGTTTCTCAGGACTTGGTATTCAGAAAGACCCTGGGGAAGAGCTGAGATCAGTTATGGTTACTATAAAAACATCAAATCTCCTTCTATTTTGTCTCAGAGGACTTTGGAAGAAAACAGAAATCTTATCTTTATGACCATCTTGAATCTGATCTTTCCAAACTCTTTCCAGAGTCCCATGTAAATTCTCCTGTACAACATAACACTCTCTTTGGAATTCACTGTCAGTTACAAACTACACTATAGATAAAGTGACCATATGTCCTGGTTTATGCATTTTGTTTTAGGGTCATTATCATTAGCACTACCTTTCACTCTGATATGTGTCTCAGTAGGGATGACAAATTATGGTAGCCTTATCTATAAGTAATAATACCTGTCAATAATAATAACCAATAACCTTACTGGAAGCTTGCTATTTATCAAAGGCTTTGAATGCTTTTATGTGTAATGAATTCTTCATCATAACCCAATAAGGCAAGTATTTTATTTTCCCCATTTTACAGTAGAAGAAACAAAGAGTTAGAGAGGGTAAATAGCAAGACCTACTCACATAGTGGGCCCAACCTGAATGCAGATGAAGGTCTGACTTTATAACATCGTATGCCAGAAGATGGTTACGCTATCTTCTTATTGGCTGGCTGGAAGAATTAGTTTTGGTTATTCTTTTTTAATGTATTCAAAGATTATCAGTAGTTCTCATTTACTATTCTTCCTAGCTGTTATAACTATATTTTCATAAGGACTGTGGATTTTAAGAGGCAAGAAAAGAGCACCAAAGTGAACTAAAATTCATCTGGGTTTTCGTTCATATTATTAATTTTACTGTATTAATAAAAATAACTGATTTGTTGAGTGACTAGTTTATGCCAGATTGGGACTTACCCTGTGTTACATCACTGACCCTTAACACAGCACTGCAAGGCAGAATATTTGAGCCCCATGAATGTATTTGATTGCTTTAGCTATTGGCCCCAAATTGCTTCATAGGTTACAAATGAAGCTTGGGGCATTAAATCATTTCAGCAGGCCCTCCAGCTCTGACATCGTCATCCCTGGCTGTCTCTAGGAGTATCTGATTATCAGGGTATAAGATATGGAATCTGGGGGCAAGGAGAAATTCTTGGGGAAAGGGACTTCCGCAGCACCTCATGTTTATTTATATTAACTGTTGTGCATTGAGTGCTTAATAAGGGCATGCACTTTACATATTTTTGTAAACATATTTTCTTCTATTTTTCTCCTTACCATAGGCCGAAAAAGAAGATAATTTGGATTTGAACCAATGTAAGTTAGCTCTGCTATGCTAGAGAGATCCATCTCTGGCACTCTCTACAGATCACCATAATTTAGAAACTTTTCTGAAAAGCAGTATTAAAGCTGAATAAATGTTTGCTAATGATCAAATTTGTTCCACCACTGTATAAAGAATATAAAGATGTATAGAGATTGCTGAAAGAAAATTCCTTGTCATATTTTCAAATAAATAGCATGAAAAATTTTACTAGTGCAGAGTAAGTTCTGTATACGGCAGAAAAACAAAGTAAATATAAATCTGTGCCTATACTCAAAAGATGATTACAGTTCACTTGGGAATACAAGAATATAAATGCACAAATGTGGATTCTGTACTATTATAAAATGCCAAATTATACAGTGTAATTTGAACAGTGGTTCTTAACCACGTATGCATAGCAGCATCATGCATGCTGTGTTTTAAAACGACAGATGCTAGGACCCTACTGCATTGACTAAGTACATTTCTGAGATCGGAACCTGGAAATGTGTGTTTTAAAATTCCATGGGTGATTTTGAGGTGTGCTATGGATAACAATCACTGGATTAAAATATATGTGTAATATTCTAATATGTTAAATATGCAGATTTTAAAAGTTAATTTTGGCCAGGATGCAAAAAGACGGCTTTATAGAAGAGCAATGATTTTAATGGAAGGTCAGATGTGGACAGAAGGTAAAAGAAACATTTTTTTTTTCTTTTTCTTATTTAGCCCAAAATAAAATTTTATCTTTTAGTTTTTTAATCTGCATTTCAGATTCCTAGTTCGATTGATCTGGGATGGATGATAAAACATAAAACAATAAATAACTGAAAATGTTCAATTATTTTCTAACCTATATATGATATGGCTTTATGAAAATCAGGTTTGAAAGCTTGCCTGAAAACGTATATATTATTATATTTATATATTCTTTTTTTCATGTTTTAAAAAAGTGACATTGTTTTATTGCTATCTGTAGGTGGGGCCTGCATGAGGTGGCTGGTGTGCTGGGCTCAAGGGGTTATGTGTGGGCTGTGGAGATGATGACAGAAAGGCTGGAAGGAAATGGGGTGGATTTGAAGGCCAGGCCTAAGGGGTCCTCAGGTCCGCTTCTGGGAAGGGACAGCCTTGAGGAAGGAGTCATGACAAGCCATAGGTAGGCCACCAATCAGATTAAGAAATTCTGAGAAATCTAGCTGCCCATCACTGTTGGTGTCCAGTTTCTTCATCGTGCGGTCAAGGACACCGGGGTTCTTCTGGTTCTTTGTGAAGGCAGCCAGTTCTGTATTCATGAAGCTCAGGAACTCCGTCTTGGAGAGAGTATAGTTATAACCAGCTTTTCCAGCATACTTCTGGAAAACAGCAATCAGGGACTCGACGCACTGCTCAGTCTCTGTAGGGCTGGAGATTTCTGCCATGTTGGAGCTGAGCGAGGCACGCGGGAGGCTGTGGCTGGGAGCGGGGCTGAGAGCTCTCTATATTTATATTTTTAGCAATAATAAGGAAATCTAATCAGAGCTAATAAATGCAATTTAGGCTGCAAACTACCAAAGGACAGGATTCATGTTTTATTCAAATTTGGATTCTTAGATATTTAGCATAGTGGACTAGTTTGTGCATAACATATATTTGTTTGTTGAATGAATTATTAGACATTTGGATTTATTTGCTTTATTTATTCTACCTTGGGGGGCAAATTTCACTAGTCTCCATTTGAAGGCTTAAGAACTTTTGCTATGAAGGTTTTGGTTTATTCATCTACTTTTTTCTTGACCCAGAACCAATGTCCTGGCAAAGAATCATTAGCTTATAGGAGTAAGATTTTAGGCTTTTTCATTCCAAGAAAAAGATGAAAGGGAAGGGAATACAGATGGAAAAGGCAAATGAGAATTGCAGGAGAGTTCCTTTTTAATACCAGGAGACTTCTCCTTCCAAGTTTATGCCCAGAACAGCTGGTAAATCACTCTCCTCAGACCAGTCCTTCCACAGGGAGCACTGAAGCCACCAAACTGTCTATGATCAGGAGAAAGGCTTCCAAAGTTTTCCCAAGCTTTACCCACTGACCAATAATTTTTTGTAGAACACGTTCTTTTTGTCATTGGTTTTGCTTTGGGATGATAATGCAGCTTTAAAGACAAAGTCAAAAAGATCACAAAGACTCTTTATCTTGCTTTGCATTATGTCTTCCCAGCACCAGGGAAGCCAGGGTTCTTTTGCTTTTTGTTGTTGTTGTTGTGGAAATGATGTCAGATGTTCATATTTTCCCAGTGGAATTCTATAATACTTTGGGAAACAGTTTCATAGGGTGGAAATAAGAAGAAAGAATGAAAAGAAAGGAAAACACAAATGGGAAAAAAGTACAGTGAGTTGATGACAGAAAGCTCTGATTTTCATCATTCTACATTTGAAAATAAGGGGAAAAGTGAAGGGCATCATACAGTGCTTAACTGTGGACATTCATGTGTAAAACAGTTTCAGTGTGAGACAATTTTGATAATGATGACAGCCACTTATTTTGGTATTAGGAAAAAGGCAGGTAAGATCCAGAGGATGGAGCGTGGGCAGAAGCTATTGTTACAGGACAGGATTCCTGTAATCTACTATCTCTATGCGCCTTCTTTAGAGTTGTTGCACTTTTTCGGCCTCCCTGCTCTTTTCTCCAGGTGCTACATGATTTCTTCACCCTAGACAAGCCTGATTATCCTCAAGGGAAAACCAACCCAAAATAAACATGATTACATAATTGTTTTTTTGGGTTTTTTTAGATGAAGTCTTGCTCTGTTGCCAGGCTGAAGTGCAGTGGTGCAATCTCAGCTCACTGCAACCTCCGCCTCTTGGGTTCAAGCGATTCTTCCGCCTCAGCCTCCCGAGTAGCTGGGACCACAGGAGCATGCCACCATGCACGGCTAATTTTTGTATTTTTAGTAGAGATGGGGTTTCACCATGGCCAGGATAGTCTCGATCTCTTGACCTCGTGAACCACCCGCCTCAGCCTCCCAAAGTGCTGGGATTACAGGCATGAGCCACCACGTGAGCCGGGCCTACATAAGCAGTGATTGAACAAGAGCATATCCAAAACAGTTTAATTCATATTGGGTGGCATAAAACAGCTGAAAATCAAACGAATTTCTGTTTTAGGAATGTTTCAAGAGTGGGCTATCATGTGCATGGTATATACATCATCTTGAACACAGTAATTTTAATCAGTCAGTGATGTGCTGGCACGGGCGCATACAAGCTCATAGGATCCAAAAGCGAGCATCTCTTCTCAGCTAGACTTCAGTGACTTCATTTTGGTAGCTTGAAGGAGACGCTGGTATGTCTATTTATACCATAGAAATTCAGGAATGTTACAAATCAGGACTTTTTAATTATTTTGCAGAGAGCCAGTTTACCAGCACACCACTGAGTGACATACACATTTTAGAAGTAAAAAGAGACCCAATATAAATATATGTCTTTGTAATTAGGAATGTTACTTGCTGAGTAAATATTTAAAGAAGACACTGCTTAAGAGACACAGTATTTTGTTAGACTGCCTAGGCCCAAATCTTTTATTAGTTGTGCCTTAACCTGTCCTTTGTCTACTTATCCTTAAAATGAGAACTTCATACAATTACTTTGATGATAAAATGAGTTCATTTATATGATGCGCTCAAAAAAGTGCCTGCCACGGAGAAGGTTCTCAATAAGTATATTCTATTAGTAGCAACAAGAGATGAGGCTATATGGTTTTTTACAATCTTCTCTTAAAAGACTGCCTAAATTCAGTGTTATTTTCCTTGTTGAGCTTTTATATCTCAGAAGCCCATACTCAATTTCCACAAGTTTTGTAAAGATCCATTAAATGAAAGCACATCAAATCACTTTGAAATGCATAGAGCACTATGTAAATGAAAGGTGGAATAATTACGTTAAAGGCATCACCCTGAATTTTGTTTATACTGCATCTCTGAAATGAGCATCAGATTTTTCTCTAGGCAGTTACTGCTCCTACAGAAACAAACACAGATGGTGCCCAAACTTCCTACTGAAGTTTGAGGCAATGGCATTTATCAAAATACCTCTGGTCACTAAATGTACAAAAACTTCAAATAAACTCTATATCTCAGTGTCAGGCCAACATAGTTATTTAGGTAAAAAGTCTTTGTTGGATAATTCAAGGATTTTCTGATGTATGAAATGGACTACTATAACAAATGGAAAATCTTGCATGTAGGCTCAGTTTTCTAAAATAGGCTATTAACATAGGCAATTTCTCTTAGAGAAAAACACTATTTTTTAATAATTAAAAAAAGAAAATAAAAGAAACAGGCAATTTATTTTAAAGGAAAAAATATCAATTTCTCTTCTGTGATGAACATTTCTAGCCAAATTAAAATTTTTGGGTTGTGGATGAGCACGTTTCCTTTTCCCATTGATCTCCTGGCCACATAAAGCAGAGAAAAGGTATGCCTTAAAAATAAGTATTTAGGCCTAGCATGGTGGCTCATAGCTATAATCCCAGCACTTTGAGAGGCTAAGGTGGGTGGATCACCTGAGGTCAAGAATTCGAGACCACCCTGACCAACATGGTAAAACCTCATCTCTACTAAAAATACAAAAAATTAGCTGAGTGTGGTGGCACATGTCTGTAATCCCAGATACTTGGAAGGCTGAGGCAGGAGACTTGCTTGAACCTGGGAGGAAGAGGTCGCAGTGAGCCGAGATTGCTCCATTGTACTCCAGCCTGGGTGACAGTGAAAAACTCCATCTCAAAATAAATAAATACACACACACACACGTGTGTGTGTGTATATATGTGTGTGTGTATATATCTAAATTCCAAAGACTAGGTTCTTAGAATATATATATAGATATTCCAAAGACTAGGTTCTCATATATATATATATATATATATATAATTTTTTTTTTAATGGATTGGAGGTTTCAGTGGGATGGGAGAATCACAAGGAATCAGGTGTTCAGAGGAATGTATTGAGTACAGGTGAGGAACTAGGATGTTGAAAAGTAAAAAAAGGTGAGAAGGAGAGAAAGAAAGAGGAAGGAAAAGAGGGAGAGAGAACAGGAATATTGCTTCATTCTAAAAATGGGTATTAATAATGGCCAATCAATATTTTGTGTATTTAAAATGGAGAACTCTATAAATATTTATTGAGTTTACTTGTTCCAGATCTGAGTTGAAGTCCTGGATATCCTTATTAATTTTCTGTCTCGTTGAGTCTAAATCTCGTTATGGGTCTTATGTATCTGGGTATTAAGATCTCTTACTGTTGCATTGATCCTTTTACCACTGTATCTTTGTTGCTTTGAAATCTATTTTCTCAAATGTGAGAATTGCAACTCCTGCTTTTTGTTTATTTATTTATTTTTGCTCTCCATTTGGTTGGTAAATTTTTCTCCAACCCTTTGTTTTGGAGAATATATATATAGATATACACATACACACACACATCTACATTCCAAAGACTAGGTTCTTAGAATATATATATATAGATATACGGATATAAATATAGGTTCTTAGAATATAGAATATATATATAGTGTGTGTGTGTGTGTGTGTGTGTGTGTGTGCGCGCGCGTATGTATTCTAAGAACCTAGTCTTTGGAATATAGACCTTCTTTTATTCTACAGGATAGTCCTGGGATTTCTGTAACCTAAACTCTTCTTATTGGCTTTTGTGCTGTTTCTGGACATGATTGCCCTTGAATCCACTCCTTGCCCTTCATGTGGCTCAGTTAGGGGGCAGGAGATCTGACACCTGAGGTTTCATTTTCCAGACACCTGTCTCAGCTGGTTTGCAACTGGCTTCTGCCAATGGGGGTTTGGGTATAAGGACTCTGGCAGGAGCCTGGGAGACTGAGCAGGAGGTAGAAGTCAGGTTATTTTCCCATCATTCACTTTGCCTCCTGCACCCTCCCCAGCATCAACTGTGTCTCTTCCCCACTCTGCCTCTTATCACTCAAGTTTGCCACAGTTCCAGTTCCAAGCAGGTAATACAAGACTTCTGTGTTAGTTATGTAGCATCTCCCTGTCCTGTCCTGTGGCCCTCCTGCCTAGTGTTAGTTATGGCTTGCTCCTGTTACTAATTTCTCAGTTGCTCACTTTTCTCTGTTGATTCCTTGTCTCTTTCATTACCCATTTCTTGCTTTAATTAAATCCCTGCATTATAGTCCTTTAACTACTCCAAGTGAACCTTGTATTCCTAACTGAACCCTGATTGACCCAAGGTCTAATACAGGCCATCTGCTCATACTGGATTCTTGAGCAAACAACACTGTTAGAAGTGCAGTTCTCTTGTTCCCATCATGAAGGTTCCAGGGATTTCTGGTTCATGAACACTAGCAATCACAGTTCCCTTTACAGCTCTCCTCCTTTAGTTAAATGATGATTCTACCTTGAGTCTACACCATGTTCCTGAGACGTTGGCAGAGAGGAAGTATTTTTCTGTGTTTCTGCTAACATTAGTGTCACAAGACGTTCAAAAATTATACTTCATTATTAACCTTCTTCAGGCCACATCCCTCAAACTCACCATAAGAAACTGATTTATAGGTGGTGAGTCTATCAAATGTTAATGCCCTTTCTGATAAGTCACAAAGAATGACAGGGTCTCCAGATCTATTTCCACATATCAGAATAGCAGGATTGGAATATGGACTTGTTCATTATTATCATTCTAAAATTCTATTCCTTATGCTTTCTTTTGAGGAAGGAAACTGCGTCACAAAGCAATGCCGTATCATAAAAGTTTAAATTAATCCTATAAATATACTCTTAATCCAAAGCTGCCAAACTAGAGTTGTGGGTTACATGAATTTGTTAAACTTATTTTGGACTTTGAATATTGAAACATACAATCTTGCCAAGTTTCTAAAAATAATGTTTTATAAATTTTTTCACCATTTTTCTGTAAATGTAAAGAAGTAAAACGTGAATCAATGTATCTACAACGGTGATGATTTCTTTCCAGTCATTAATTATATCAGATCTTTTTTTTTTTTCTGTATACCCATCCTATTACACTATTCCTTTTTCCCCAAAGGATTTTTTAACTATTATTTTACTTTCTTTTGCTGCGTTATAAATTCTAAACCAAATAACTATCCCTGCAGGAGTATTCTGTGAACTCTCCCAGTCACTGTCTGGGGACTGTGGCTTGTAGCCTCAATTTATGCCTCCATAGCGTGTTTTATGAAATAATTTATTTTTTTCTCTCTCTCTCTTTCACCGTTTCACATTAGACTTGAAGTGCCATAAAGAAAGGACTGTTTTATCTTTGCATTCTTAGTGTTAACTAACTTCCTTGGCACCTAAAAATCATTCAATTAAGATTTATTAAGCTCATTCTGAACAACATTGAAAGTCTCAAGGCCTCTGATGCTGGACAAATTTTAGTATTAGGTTCTTCAAATAGAAGGTTTTTATTTTTAAATATTTTTAGAACTAGGAATATTTCACTAACAAACATATAACAGACTGTTTATTTCAGAAGACACCTAGTTTTTATACCCTCTCCATAAAAGTAGTTATATTTTTGTTGAACATTGATATATAAGGTAAACAGGCACTTCAGAGAACCAGTAGCACTTTAACGCATTTAAGACAAAGCTTTTCAACTCATTATCTTGTTTACATTCTTTTTCACTAGAAGTTATATCCTCTCTCTGTGTCTGTCTTTCTAAATTTAAGCCCTTATTTTCATTGTCCATCTAAATATATTCTCACGGACTCCACCATCAATTAAGCAAATGCCATGTCTCTAACTCATTTCCTTTAAAAAGGATAAGCTCAGCCATGCTCTGTTTATTCCATTTATAATGGCTCTCTTTGCACATTTTGGTCCATTGCCTCCAGTGTCATTTCTCATGCATCTGTTTATTCTACCCAATTAGACTCAAAGCTTTGCAGTCAAAGGTACTTTTTCTTTTATATCTCCTCACAGCATGTTCATAACATAGGCTTGTAAACTCAGTGTCTTCTAGATTCACCAATCTGTGCTGGTATGTTTAGTTCCTTGAAAATGAACACACTGACGTGCTTACTCTGTGGCTACATCCATGGGCATTTTGGCCACCCACACAAGACACAGCTCTGGTGGTTCATCTCTTCCAGACCAAGGATTCCGGGAGCTAGGATGTGAAGCATGGGGACCTCAAGTCCCCTTTGCCACTTTTCTTTAAATCAAGAAATATCCCTAACTTAGCTCTCCCCAGGGACTCATTATTGCCCTAGTTCCCATCATTAATAATTTGTTATCTGCCAAATATCCTGTTCACTTCCTTCATAGCACTTATAATTTGTAACTATATATGCATGTAAAATTTGTATGGAATAAGCACATAAACTGAACAAGTTTAAATTATATATAAGTATGTAAAGTATATGGAAAACATAAAGTAGATGCCTGTATAAGTAATACATACAAAAATCACATCATATGTATGAGTATACATGTGTGTGTTTCATGTTTTCATCTTTTTTCCTCCACAGAGTTTCATCTCAACTCGCCTCACCACTACAGATCCAAGCCTAACACAGAGCCTAACAGAAGTAGGTACCATAAATACTTGTTAAAGAAGTAAAACGTGAATCAATGTATCTACAACGGTGATGATTTCTTTCCAGTCATTAATTATATCAGATCTTAAGTTTTACTCAACAAAAAGCATAGAGAGGAGAGAAATAGGAAAAAAAAAGAGCCAATTTTATCCTCTCCACTCCAAAATCTCATAGGTTTATAAGCTATCTTATCCCAGAAAGAGGCTCCCAGACCTCTCAGTTTGTTTTCACCCAGAGAAGGAAGAGGGGAAGACAAGAAAATCTCTGCTGTCCATGGTTGGTGCTACCCACAGATAAAATCTATAACTATTACAATTAATAAGCTAATGATTTCCAAGAAGCATAGCAAAAAATACTAATTGAGCATTCCTACATTTACCGTTACAACCTCCTACTTCTTCTTTACCAGCACAATCTGTATATCTTTAGAACATACTTATAGCATATGCACTTCTTCCTCCTAAATAAAAAATTCTGATGACTAAACAATAAGAGTGGGACATAATTACAGGAGTAAGTATTGACTGTGCTGATTCATGAAAAGGATTGTGAGCCGGAAGGCCTGGTTTCACGTCCTGCTCCACAGTTTTCTAGATGTGAGATTGTGGATAAGTTATGTGATCTTACTTTGCCTCTGTGAACATCATAAGAGTTCAGGCCGAGTGTACCTAATCCAAAACTCCAAAATCCAAAATGCTCCAAAATCTGGAAACTTTTGAGCACTGTATGATGCCACAAGTGGAAAATTTCACAACTGACCTCAGGCAATGAGTTGCAGTCAAAATGCAAGTGGAAAACACACAGTTTATTCAGCACCTCCCAGAGGAAAATAAAATTACTTTCAGGCTATGTATAGAAGATGCACATAAAACATAAATAAATTTCCTGTTTAGACTTGTGTTCCATCCCCAAGATATCTCATTATGAAGTAAATATCTATTATAGCAAATATTACAAAATCTGAAAAAAAAAATTTGAAATTCAAAATGCCTCCAGTCCTATGCATTTCAAATAAGGAATACTCACCCTGTACCTAAGTCATAGGCTTTGTTTTAGCATTAAATCAGTTAGAGCATCTAAAACCCTTAGAATAATGTCTAGCACATAAGAAGCGCTCAATAAATATTCACCAAGCATCTTATTATTATTTGTATTATTATTTCTGTCACCATCTCCAAATTAAGACAGTTTTACTTCTAATACAAAGTGATTGAATTTCCATTAAGACTAAGCAAGGGAAACAGAATGTACACACTGGAAATAGTAAGAAGGAAAAGGGAATATAGCCAGAGATGCTTTCGAAATGTAAAACAGCACGATAGAAAGTCAGGATCCTCCAATATTGTTATGTCTTCTTAATAACGTTTTTCTTTTTAATTCTTTCCCCCAATAGAAAACCTTTCCTCCTAAATCTTCTAGACACCTAATGATGATCATTACTCTTATTTTATCGTCTTTGGTCTAAAAAATTTGGAGAACAACTGATCACAGTGTACTTTTTAGTACCCCATCCTTGCTAAGAAATTGTAATTGATTTAATTCTATGATTTTCATATGTGTTCATTCGAGCACTAGTCATAGTCTCCATAGCTGTTGAAATCCTTGGCCTAATAAAAACTTTAAAAAAGGCATTTTTAAGTTTTTCATGTATTTGGCTGTATGGCATAAGACAATAACATCATTAACCCTTAAAAAGAAAGACTTTTCCCATCTGACTGTGTTTATTCACTTATTTTTTATGAATATATGTTTGTATTTCAATTAACAAATATATACTTAGATTCAATTATGTGCCAGCACTGCACTAGATATCTGGTTAAAAGAAAAAAAAAATTTAAACAGTGAACAAGGCATGGTAGACAAAGTATTTGCTTGTATGAAGCCTAGAGTCTAGAGAGAGTTTGGAGCAGTCAACCGAACACATAATATTTAAGTTACAAACTGAAATCACTGTTGCACCAGAAATAAATGGAAAGCATGAGAGAAAATAATGGAGATGGGAGGTGGGGAGGTTGAGGGAAATGTTAGGCCAATTACATAACGCCTGTCTGAGGAAGTGACATTTAAGCAACACCTGAAGAAAGAAAAGGAACCAGCTATTCAAATTGCCGAAAGAGCTGCATATTGCAAGCAGAAAGAATAGCAGTGAAGAGGCACTGCTATGGAAGAGAACGTGGATGAGTCATTGGGCCTGTAGCTGGACACTGGTGAGCAACAGGGAGGGTTTGGAGGAAGAGTTACCCGTCTGATAATGCAAGGTTTTCTCATTTGGATAGTCTCAGTGTGGAACAGGGTACTTTTACAAGGTATTTAAGCAAAGAGTTAGTATGATCAATACATGTTTCAAAAGATAACCCTGGTAGCCGTATGAAGAACCTATGGAAAGGAGATATGAGTCAAATAAGAGAAGAATCTAGCAGAACATTAGAGTAATCCAAGCAAGAGATATATGTAGCTTAGTCTTGAGTGTTGGTAAGGTAGCTATCAGTAACTGGATATGAGCGACAGTGAGGAGGCAGAAATGGTAGAATTTCTTGATGGTTTGGATTGGAAATGGAAGAACGGTGTATGATCCTTAAGTTTCTGCCTCAAGTCTTAGATGATAGTTCTATTTACTAAGAAAGAAAAATTGTTGAAGTACTAGTTTTGTCTTCGATAGGTTAATTTCATGTTATTTATGTGACACCCCAGTGGAGATGATACATAGGCATTTGATTATACTGATGTGAAACTGTTATATCAATGAGCCAAAGATGGCCTGTGTGTATTGATCAGCAGGTTGTTATTTCCTCAACACAGGCTGATGCCCCTAGCCTGAAAGCCCACCAGGGGATCAAATCAAATGTTTACACATGCTTTTATTTTTAAAATAGACTACATAAGCAGATTTTTCGACATTTAAAATCTGGCTGTTTTGTCTATCCAACAAAACCTCACCCACGGCTGCTAGCAATAGATAAATCCCTTGAGTTATAAAGACCCAAGCCACTACTGCCCTTTGGAGTTCTTCGACCCAGACTCCCCACCATGCCACTGAGCAACATGGCCTTGACACATAAGCCCCCTCTCTCCTAGGAGTTCCCTTGCTCTCCTTCCCTTCTGAATAGTGACCCTCTGACCCTTAGCTTCTAGACTGACTTCTGCTTTGAGGGACTTCCTGGACCTGAGAAACTGTCAAAGTAGCCCCCAGTAAAGCTATAGCCACCTTGTGGTAATATTATTTTCCCTTGATTAACCACATAATCCCTCAAAGGCCCTACAAAAGCTCGGAAAGATCTACCATGGAGATATCTATCTGGATGGAAATACTTAGCACAGAGATGGAATTAAGGCAAAAAGAATCAATGATACTACTTCAGGAAGAGTGCCTAAAAATAAGGCAGGAGGGCCCCTACTAAATCTGATGAGTTACAAAATTTGAGATCCAGTAAAGAGGAAAAACATACAAATACTACCACTTGGCCAGTATCTACTCATATTATTTTACTCAGGGCACACCTTAACTTCTTTAAGATGAAACTCTATCTCCTCCTTCCCTCCCCAGTCAGGATGGTTAGAATGACAGCCTTGTTCTCGGCTTCTGTGGTTTTTCCATACAATTGCTTTTGCCACATATTATTAAAAGTATCTGATTATTTGCCTGTCTTCATATGGTACTGTCCTTAAAGGCAGACTATGTGTTCATCTCTAAATTCCAGGAATCTAGCACAGCACCTGACTCACAGTGCAAAATAAATATTTTCTAAATGAATAGGCAATCTGAACATATTAGAATGGCTGTGGAAAAGCTTATGATGATAATGTGGTGATAGAGGGTTTCAGATGACTGGGGAAGGTTAGGACACTTTTCATGATGATGGTATTACTATCCATTCTCTGTTCTCAATCTGAAGTTAGATTCTAGCCTTATCCTAAGCAAAGGCATTAAGATATTGAGCTCACATGTATTGTACCACAGGAATAATATAGGAAGATAATGAAATAATTTAAAAATATTTCAAGCAAATAGGTAGCTAGTTCCATAAAAACTCAAGATGGCATAACTGAGGGCATAATTGAATTTTATCTTAAAATATTATTACATTAATTTGGTTTTGCTTTTTTAAAAGAAATTGAACATAAAAATTAGAATTTTAGGACAATTTATGTAAGATCTGAATCTGAGATGATTTTCTGTTCCTAATTAGAACCTCCCTTTGTTATTTCAGTGTTTTTATTTTTTTTACTTCTATTTAAGAGAGCAAGGCTGGTCCAAGCATGTTATGACTGAGGTAATTGCTTCTCCCTATTTTTTACTAAGATATTTGTTCATAGTTCACAATTTGGCCATTGACAACAAAAACTAACAAATATCAGGAAGTCTATGACCTCTACATCATGGCATTTACTGATTAAGGTAGAATAATAGTTAATAAGTACTTCATAGCAAAAATAAATAATTGGAATGCATAAAAGATCATGGAGGCTAATGGAGTGTTATAAACATATCCACAAAAGATCTTTAGACACATGATGATACAATATCCTCTGCTTCAACTATGAAACAAAGTTGGTTGCAAGACATGTCATACATTAAAGGGAAACGTTTTGTATAAAATATAATCTGCCATTTTTTAACACTGATGAGAAGCACCTGATTTCAGAATTTAAAAACTAAGTGTATCTTATCTATTTTTTAATCCTGTGCATCACAACTAATAACTGAACAGAATTCATTTGTATTGCAGAGAGTAATGGTTAACAAACATTGGAGTTCTGTATTCATGTTATATAATTATCTGCAATTATAGATAATTGTAGATAATTACACATTAGCTTACATAAACATCATGTTTTATTGACTTATCGATATCTATTTGTGAAAATACTAAGGTTGGTCCCTCCTTTTAAATATAAAACAACTGATATTATAAACCTAAGTATGAAAATCTCCACACACTAATTTGTTACTATTGCTGTCAGTAAATATATTTTCAGAGTGATTTACCATATAGAAAATACTTTCACCATGATTACACATTTATCCTCAGAATCATAAGAGTAAAGGTTGTAAAGATGATAAAGATCAATTGCATATTTAAATTTATAGTGTACGGGCCCAGTGTGGTGGCTCACGCCTATAATCCCAGCACTTTGGGAGGCCAAGGCGGGTGGATCACCTGAGGTCAGGAATACAAGACCAACCTGGCCAACATGGTAAAACTACATCTCTACAAAAATACAAAAATTAGCCGGGCATGATGCAGGCACCTGTAACCTCAACTGCTTAGGAAGCTGAGACGGGAGAATTGCTTGAACCCAGGAGTAGGAGGTTGCAGTGAGCCAAGATCACATCACTGCACTCTAGCGTGGACAACTGAGCAAGACTCCCTCTCAAAAAACACTGTAGCATACGTATTCATATTCTGCTTGTTCTTTTCCAATAAAAAGTAAGATGAAAAGAGCTCAAATATGTAATAAACTTTTCTGGTTGCATAGATAGATGAGTGAAATATGTTTTTCTGAAAGGTAAAGATGAAATGGGAACTGAGGAACTTCAAGGACTTTTCTGAACATATGCAAAATCAAATTACAGAAACTATGTTCTTCACAACTTTATAAATTCAAGAAACCAGAATAATCATTTTCTTAATAATGGACAAATGAGTAACATGTATTGACATGTCTCTCCATAATTACCAAATGCCTTTTTTTTAGAATACCACAAATAATATTTTTATATTTTTTAATTGACAAAAAAGTAACACAGAAGAAAAAGTAGTTGTCCTTGGAGGAAAAGACATACGTTGTGCAATATGGCCCCGAAAGCATCTGCCTACTCCTCTGAATCTGGGAGCAAAGGGATCTGGATACAAACTATATTCAGAGACTTGGTACTCTGGGAACTGATTTAGAGTTCATTGTAGAAAACAATACCTTTGTTTATAGCATTGTGTGCTCATTTACACAACATTCCTATAAATAAAAAGTGCCAGAAGGAAAGGTTGCCATTGTGTGGAAATATTAATGTTTTCTAGCTAGCCACAGGAATTCTTTCAAAACCTTATGAATAGTTATTAGGTTATCTTGATTTTACAAATAAAAGGACAGAAACTCAGAGATTAAATAACTTGCCACAGTTATATAACTGATAAATGATAAGATGGATACGAGTACAGGAAACTGTTCAAGTAGCAAATATGTGTGTTTACTAACAGGAATATGAGTAATGCTGCCACACCACCATCCATACCACAAAGGCAATCATCAGCCAAAATGTTATGGTTCTACTTAAGGTAGAACCATTAGATATTGGGGATGTTATGAAAGGCTAAGTTTTAAAAAATGTGATTTATTATGAAACATATCAGAAACATGATGTTAAAGTTTTTTTTGTTAACAAATGCTTCTAAGCCTTTAATGTGTTATTACGCTCCCTAAGTCTCTCAGAGATGTATTTCACCAACACATTAAGCTACCAATTTCTTTTCCCAACTTCCACACACAGTTACATCTTTTGGGGATAGCATTCCAGCAAACACTGTGAAAATACTAACCTGAAATATCCTTAGATTATCCATCTGCTAATTCAACGCTCCACTGACTACTCAAATATATTTTTTTGGTTTTGTTTTTACTTTTTAATTTTTATTTTAGGTTTAAATGTACATATGCAGGTTTCTTATGTAGGTAAATTCATCTCACAGGGGTTTGTTGTACAGATTTTTTTTTAAGCATTCAGGTGCTAAGCCTAGTACCCAATAGTTATGTTTTCTGATCCTCTTCCTTCTCCTACCTCCCCAACCTCTGATAGGCCCCATGTGTGTTTTTCCCATTCTCTGTGTCCATGTGTTCTCATCATTTAGCTCCCAAGTATAAGTGAGAACATGCAATAGTTCATTTACCATTTCTGTGTTAGTTTGTTAAGTATGGTGGCCTCCAGCTCCATCCATGTTCCTACATAGAACGTGATCTCATTCTTTTTTTATGGCTGCATAGTATTCCATGGTGTGTATGTTCCACATTTTTATTCAGTCTGCCACTGACGGGCATTTAGGTTGATTCTGTGTTTTTGCTATTGTGAATAGTGCTGCAAAGAGCATGCAGAGAATGGTATGCATTAGTCTTTATGGTATAATAATTTTTACTCCTTTGAGTATATACCCAGTAATGAGATTGCTGGGCCAAACAGTAATTCTGTTTTTAGCTCTTTGAGAAATCACCACACTGCTTTCCACAGTGTTTGAACTAATTTACACTCCCACCAGCAGCATGTAAGCATTCCCTCTCCTCCACAACCTTGCCAGCACAGGTTATTTTTTGACTTTTCAATAATAGCCATTCTGACTGGTGTGAGATGGTATCTCATTGTTGTTTTGATTTGCACTTCTCTAATCATTAGTGATACCGAGCTTTTCTTCATATGCTTGTTGGCCACATGCATGTCTTCTTTAGAAAAGAGTCTGTTCATGGCTTTTGTCTTCTTTTTAATGGAGTTGTTTTTGGTTTTTGTAAATTTTCTTAAAGTTCCTTGTAATTTCTTGATATAAGAACTATGTCAGATGTACAGTTGGTAAATACTTTATTCCATTTCATAGGTTGTATTTACTTTGTTGATAGTTTCTTTTGCTGTACAGAAGCTCTTAAGTTTAATTAGATCCTATTTGTCATTTTTTGCTTTTATTGCTCTTGCTTTTAGGGTGGTTGTGATGAAATGTTTGCCAATTTCTGTGTCCACAATGATACTGCCTTAGTTGTCTTCCAGGGTTTTTATAAATAGGAGTTTTACATTTAAGTCTTTAATCCAATGTTAGTTGATTTTTTATATAGTGTAATAAAGGGGTCTAGTTTCAATCTTCTGCATATGAGTAGCCAGTAATCCCAGCACCACTTATTGAATTGAGATTCCTTTCCTCATTGCTTGTTCTTGTTGGGTTTGTCAAAGATCAGATGGTTTTAGGTGTGTGACCCTATTTGTGGTCTCTCTATTCTATGCCATTGTGACCTATGTGTCTGTTTTTGAACCAGTACCATGCTGTTTTGGTCACTATAGCCCTGTAGTATAGTTTAAAATCAGGTAACATGATGCCTCCAGCTTTGTTATTTTTGTTTAAGATTGCCTTGGCTATCTGGACTCTTTTGTGGTTCCATATGAATTTTAAAATAATTTTACTAGTTCTGTGAAGAATGTCATTGGTAGTTTGATAGGAATAGCATTGAATCTCAAATTGCTTTCAGCAGTATGACCATTTTAATGATATTGATATTGATTCCTCCTATCTGTAATCATGGAATGTTTTTTCATTTGCTTGTGTCATCTCTGATTTCTCTGAACAGTGTTTTGTAATTCTCATTGTAGAGATCTTTCACCTCCCCAATGAGCTGTATTCCTAGTTATTTTTGTGGCAATTATGAATGAGACTGTGTTCTTGATTTGGCTCTTGGCTTGGCTGTTGTTAGGGTATAGAGGACTTGATTTCTGTGCAATGATTTTGTATCCTGAAACTTTTTTGAAGTTGTTTATCAGATCAAGGAGATTTGAGGGTGAGGTTGGGGGCTTTTCTAGATGTAGAGTTATGTTGTCTGCAAACAGGGATAGTCTGACTTCCTCTCTTTCTATTTGGATGTGCCTTTCTTTCTTTTTGTTTCCTGATTACCACAGGGTTTCCAATACTGTGTTGAATAGGAGTTGTGAGAGAGTATATCCTTGTCTTAGGCCTGTTTTCAGCGGGAATGCTTCCATCTTTTTTCCATTCTGTATGATGTTGGCTGTGGGTTTATCATAGATGGCTCTTGTTATTCTGAGGTATGTTCATTTAATACTTAGTTTATTGAGAGTTTTTAACATGAAAGGTTGCTAAATTTTATCATAAAAAGTTTCCTGTCTTTCTCATTCCCAGGAGAAATTTTTCATTACAAAACTTTTTGAATTGTTTTATATATAGAAGTTGCTTGATATTTCTGATATAAGCTATAACTAGGGAAATAGGAATATACAGTGGGTGTGTGTGTGTGTGTGTGTGTGTGTGTGTGTATATACATACATATCAGAATATATATGTCAGTATACATATCTGAAAATATATTCATATATACGCACACATTGACACATGTCAGTATCTGCACACTCAAGCTGTCTTTTAAGTGGCCACCTTTGTGAGCCATGCATCTCCCAAATAATTTTTAAAAGTCATTTTTGGAGTTGGATTTTAAAACTACATTTTAAGGATCCTCACAATGGTTTCATCCTTTCAGGGTAGAAAACGCTTCTTTAAAGAATGAAAACTATTTGGGACAAGTAGGAATTTAGACTATAAAGTAATAAAATATATTTTCTTATGAGACATACATTGATTCTGAGAACAGTTACAGAAGTGGATTAGAACATAATTTTTGGAACACAATGGCATTATTTATATAGGCACATAGGCTCATGACATGCCTGCTTTTTGGAAGTAAATGCAACTTATATACTTATATATTTTATTTAAAATTTCTTCTTCTTCTTTTTTTTAAGGTGGAGTCTCACTCCGTCACCCAGGCTGGAGTACATTGGTGTGATCTCAGCTCACTGCAACCTCTGCCTCCCAGGCTCAAGCCATCCTCTCACCTCAGCCTCCTCAGTATCTGGGACCACAGGCACACTCCACCATGCCTGGCTATTTTTTTTATAATTTTTGATAATAATGGAGTTTTACCATGTTGCCCAGACTTGTCCTGAGCTCAAGTGATCCACCTGCCTCAGACTCCCAAAGTGCTGGGATTACAGGTGTGAGCCATGACACCCAGCCTAAAAATTATTCTTAGTACATTAAATGAAGAGTTATATATTTCAGTGCATTCAAGTAAATAATTTAAATATATCAAATTATCGGGTATAAGACAAAAGTAATAGAGAATATAATGGCAAATAAAAAAGTGAATGCCCTACTTTCCAGGTATTTTAGGTAAAAATAAAAACTTTCACTACACAAAACAAAGAAAACAGAAATTTTTCTGTCACAAAAGTAGGGAAGTGGAAATATGATTATCATCTATTTTAGTTGGAGGTGCCCCTCGTGATATGTCATCAAAACCTAGCGCTCTATAGACATGTTAATAGTATAATTAGAAAGAAATCTCAGTTAGACCACATATAGACAAGCCACCTTATCTCTCCAAATCTCAGTTCCCTCATCTCTAAAATTACAGAAATGAGAAGACTAAATGTGACAATGCAAAGAATGCACTTAATCCAATGTCCAGCACTGCCCTAATTGAATGATAATCATTTATTTCATTACCAGAATTTAAATATCATGATGTTTCAGTTTGTGAAAGCACTGCTTGGCCTTTCTCTACCTCTGCATAGAACTTTTAACATTCTTTCTATCAGCCCTTTATCCAATGTTTACTAAACATAACCTAAGTACAGACCACTGTGCCAGAGACTAGGGATACAAAGATGAAACAAATCAGTTGTGTTTTCAAAGAGCTTATGGTTAACCAAAGAAATGAAGCTCCTAACGTGTTATAATACCAGTGAGAGAAATATCTAAGACACACATAAAGAGCTGTAGATTCTTACAGAGTAAGCAGCTAATTCTGACAAGGCTACCTGCTAAGGGATGATGAAATGAAAAATTGGAGGGAGTGGAAATATTTAAAAATAAATGCTTTAACAGAAAGAAAGAATGGAGACCCAAAAGTACAGAGAATTTTCAGGGATCTGCAATTAGTCCAGTTGGTTTACAGTTTCAAATACTTAAAGAAAGTCAAGATTAGAGTATGCATGCTAGACAGATTTGTGAAGTCTGAAATACCGAGTGAACAGGAATGTGATTTATTTAATAGCAGGAATATGCTTTATTTAACATTTCACTGGCAATGATGAGCCAGTAAAACCTTTTGAATATGAGAGTGGCATGGTAAGTGCTGTATTTTAGTAAGCTTAACCTAAAAGCACCCTGTAGTGTATGTTGCAGAGAGAAAATACTGGAAGGAAGAAACCAATAGAGAAGTTACTGAAGTAATCCATAGAAAAATGGAGGCGCAACTCTGACAATGGAGGGAAGAGCTTAATGGTGATTGAAAACTGGGAAGGCAGTGGTTCTTTGGAGGTTGTGTTCCCATAGCATCCACAGGAATATAACTTAGATTTGATGCTTTTTGTAGGGGTGGTTTTGAGAATGCTAATAGATAACTGAGATTACAGGCTTCACATTAATGGAAGGATTAGTAAGGAGGAGTTTGTCTAAGAAAGTGACAACAACACTGAAGGACTTTGTAAGTCTAAATTTCAAATCACCAATTCATCTATCTTCTGCCTTTGAATGACATCTTTCTTTACTGTTTGCTACCTGATCATTTCCAAAATTTCTGTGTCAACTTAGCTGATCCCTGGTATGTCTGTTAAAGAAATATTTTCATCCCATCATTTTTCTTCTATGATGTTGAGGATGAATGGATCCAGCTCAGCTAGCAAAGAAAAAGAAATTCTCTGCCTTTTACAAGGCTGTTGGTCATTCTCAGGATACGAGAGTAAATCAGCAACTATCTGTTGTGTTAACTCCAGTCTCCTTTAAGCCAGACAGTTAAGAGTAATGATGATGGGTCCTTAGAGAACAGTGAAAAGCCAGACTCACTAAGCATTCGGTAGCCTTGTGTGGTATATAAGGGAGTAGGACATTAAGCAACCAGTAGAATGTGTTTGTGTTTGAATTGGTTTTCAGTGTTGGATTACACACTGTAAAATGAAAATGTATTCTAATAATAGAATCTTTTATAGTCAGTGTCTTAAATAACTGAATAATTACTTTCCTACTATATGAATGACTAAAAGATTATTCTATGGCATTTCACTTTATGTATATTTAAACTTTTTATGGAAATATTTAGACCTACACTAAATTAGAGAGCTATAGTGTAAAGTACACCATGTACCCTTTACTCTGCTTCGATAATTATCAATATTATGCCAAATGCTGCCAAGTTTTTTATTATTCCCCATACTTTTTATGTAATATTTTAAAGCAAATATCAAACTAGTTATTTGAAAATGATTCACTATGCATCTCTAATTGATAACTGTTTTGACAGAATGAGCATGCCTTTCTCATACCACAGATTCTTAATATCATCTATTACGCATTTCACCAACTGTGCCAAAAATGCTCGTTTACATTTAGTTTGTTCAAATCAAAATCCAAACAAGATCCACATACCATTTTTGGTTACTATGTCTGTACATATTATGGTTTGATTATTTGATTATTATAACAGTCTTCTCTTTATTTATTTTTTTTTGACATTTACCAGAAAAACACTTTATATTTTATAACAAGGTTATCACACCGTTTTCTACTTCTAAAGAAAAATTGTAACTCATTCACATTTATTTAACTCCTGTATAATGAACAATTACTATGTACAGGACAGTGTACTACTAGGTGCTGAGTGTGATTCAAAGATGTGTGTAAATCATGGTCCCTATCCCCAAGACTTCACCATCTGAGGAAAAGGAAAAATAAAGTGCGCAAGTATAATGACAACAACATTGTAGCAGAACTTAATTAACTAGTATAGCGACTATCATTTCCAAAGCAGAAGTATGGTTTGGAAGATGAGGGGCAGCCATTTTGGAAGAGTTAGCATGTGAGATGGATGAGTTACAGTGATTAGCAATTCAAGAGGAAGTTGAGGGTAAAAAGAGGAAGCTCTACTTGTGACTGAAAAAAATGCATTCCATAGATTTTAGGAGGGAAAAAGACATAAATAATAGAGGTGGGGAAAGTGAGATATATTCAAATTATTATAAGTAAAATAATTCAGCAGAAGCAGAATGTTTATGAAAGAGATACGCCTAGAAGATAAGTAGGGGACAGCTTTCGGAGAATATCAATTGGCAAGCTGAATAACTTTAACACTGTCCTCAAAAGCAGGCAGCCACTAAGTTATATTCATTTTTCTGTATATGGGAAAATGTTGGACATTATATAAACACAGATATTTGATTAGTAAGCAAAATGTATCAGTTCATTTCATAAGGGAACTTTAAAAAACTGTTTGTTTCAATAGCAATCATTTTCAAATATTTATAGCAAATTGGCAAGATATTTTAATGTTTTATTTTGCCCAACAGCTAGATGTTCCACTTAGAGGAATGCAAACAAACTGGAGCTGATTTAACCAGCACCTACTGTACAGCTGCTGAGAGACCTTCATACAGCTAGGATTTTTTGTCTGTAGCTCAGTAAGACAACAATTCAATGCATTTAACACTGGAGAGACAGAATATAACCCTATTAAAGATAGATATATTAGATCTGCAAACCTCAAACTCTAAACTTTTCATCTATTATAAACATACAGTGAAGTTTATAATATAATGTTTTTCTGCTTATCAACTATAAATATATGTACTAAACTATAAATTCTCTCTTTACTGGAATAAGGCTTACTGATTTTTACTATTAAAAGATCCTCAAATGACAGCTGACAGCTGAATTATCAAAGTCATCAAAGAAAGTATGTGTTGAATTTAACGTAGCTTTATTGGTATTTCCTTCTTACAGATTTATTCAATAAATGGCAATCCAGATATTCTAGGTCATATAGGTGTTTTACTATTTTTGAGTGTCCACACATATACCAGCCTTTGTGCTGTGCCTTTTGAAGAAATAAAATTGTACATGGGATGTGGTCCTGGTAGTTCAAAGGCTTGTATTCTAGTACAGATGATTAAACACATACATGCAGAAGTAAAACTATAGGCAGGATTGAAATAGAGGTGTAAGAGTGAATTAAGTTAGGATTTTCAACAGCAACGCTATTGACATTTTGAATCAGATACTTCTTGGTGGTGAAGAGCCATCCTATATATTGTGGAATATTTAGCAGCATCTCTGATCTGTATCTACTAGATAGTATCTCCCCAGTGGTGACAACCAAAATGTCTCCAGACATTGCCAAATGTCACCTGAGAAACGAATGCAAAATCACGTGCAGTATTGGGCCACAAGATTAGATGGACAGTCCTATATATATTTTGTTAATGCAAACAATTTCCATTTGAGGAATCAAGGGAAGTCCATAAAGGTATGAGAAGTAATATGAGTAGGTTGAGAAGAGGAGAGCATTTTAGGAACAGAGAAAGTGGCTAAGCTCCAGATTGGGAGACAAATTAATAAGTATAAATTATGTTCAGAAGTCATAGAATTCAGTGCTTTCGAGGTGATTAGCAAACAAAAAATGACATGGTAAATAGGAATCATATTATGGAGGTTCTGAACATAGAAATGAAATGAATAAAGCATCATTTTCAAAATGTTATCATAAAAATTCCAAGCAGAATGATTTAACCATACAAAAAAAGTTAATTTTAGGTGTGGGATTTCATTAAAAACATAATTTGGAAGAAACTAGGGAATACTGTGGGATATATATTTCCCAGTATAAGAAAGGAAAACAGAAAAAGTTAACTCTATAATTTTCTTCGATGTGTGATCTTGGAAATTGTTGTTGATTGTTTTCTCATAATACAGTTGATACTTAATATTAGAGCTGATTGACAGATGAACTCAGATTCTCTGGGTCTCCATGAAGTGGAAGTTGTAACTGATGTATTAGAATGGTAAACGAAACGATGATATTATTCTCATTAATAACTCTCCAGTGACCTAGAAACTATCAATCGAGGCTTTTAAATAATTACTTTTCTTCGATAAGTTTTGAAAGTTTGCTTGTGGGAAACTCAACATGGAAAGTAGGTATGTAAAGAGCACCCTTTTC